CTAGTGCACCCCCAATCTAGCAAATGTTAAAGCACTCCTGAAGGAACGGGATAGTTCTAGAAAACGGGTGGCGTGACACTAGTCACGTGACCTCGCTGACGCAACAGGTGCTTATCCTAGTAGATTGAAATAACAAAAGTCCAATATTAAGAAACAAGATTGTGCATAAAAAATTTTGTTATTTAGCACCAAAAATATTTAATACTTTTTTGTCTTTAACGAAAAATATGAAAATAATATAACTTATATTTGTGATATTTTACTACCAAGAGATTTTTTTTGTATAACTAGAACAAAGATAATAAAATGAACAATTAACGTTTACTCAGATGAGCTAAAAGCTTTTGGGTTAATTATAATTTGTATTTATAATTTAATTTGTTTTAATTCTGTTTTATTGTAATAATGAAAAAAAATGTTGTGATTACAATTAACTTGTATTTTTAGGGTACTCCGTCCCTTGTCTTACCCACAATAATCACAGAAGATTTTGATACTTGTATTTTTAGGGTACTCCGTCCCTTGTCTTACCCACAATAATCACAGAAGATTTTGATACTTGTATTTTTAGGGTACTCCGTCCTTTGTCTTACCCACAATTTCTGTGATTATTGTGGGTAATACAAAGGACGGAGTACCCTAAAAATACAAGTATCAAAATCTTCTGTGATTGATTTTGATGAAATGTCAACTTCCGATGACTCGAATCTCCTTAAATCTAAATCTCTGGGGGCTCGGGATCGAATTCGGTCACTCTCTGGTGGAACTTCAAAGATGTCCGCTCCTCGTGAAGCCCTGGGCCACAGTCGTTTAAGACGGCCCTCTGGGGACGATGTACTTTCGGGAATTAGTCCTTCAAGGAAATTAGCCATATTTGAAGCCTTTCGTCCTCGTTCTAAATCAGAGAGTAAATGGCAAACACCGAACATTATAACAACAATAAAAAACTCTATGCAGAACACATTTTCCTCGTCGCCAGAGGGCAGAAGTTCGCCCAAATCTCCGACACAAGCTCTTGCCCAGTTACAGGTGTCGCTCGGATCTTCTGTTGCATCAAACTATTTAGACCCATTTTCACGAGGTGAATACCGCAAACAGGTGTCGGGGTCCGAGAGTAAAAGCGGACCCGTTTCGAAGGTTATTGAAATGTTTCGTAATCGATCTAATTCTATTGCCACTGACGTCTTTTCCAAGGTAAGTCAAACATTAGAGTAACGTCACAGAGTTTCAAAACGTGTATTAATACATTATTATAATACAGTAAAAAAAAATATTATTTTATTACAATTAAAGAAACGAATATAAAAAAAGCCCGAGCTTTAGTTGGAAGAGTCACCTCTTAAATTGTTTTAATCATTATAATTATAATAATCTGGTATTATAATTTTACCAAAAATCAATTTTATGATTCTCATTTTTCTGTATAGTATTCTAACCAGTTGTCATTCAGACCTGACGTGAACTGGTAGTTAGGGTTTAATGTACAGAAACGTTGTAGATTCAGTTGAATCTACAACGTTTCTGTACGTTACACATAATATGCATCCACTGAATCCACAACGTTTCTGTACGTTACACATAATATGCATCCACTGAATCTACAACGTTTCTGTACACTACATATCAGTTGATGCGTTTGATGTGTAACGTACAGAAACGTTGTCGATTCAGTTGATGTGTAACATACAGAAACGTTGTAGATTCAGTTGATGTGTAATGTACAGAAACGTTGTAGATTCAGTTGATGTGTATTATGTATAGTGC